AAAAGGGGTTTTGAGGCGACTATGGCAAGAAGCCGCGAGGGGGGGGGAGAAAATTGGTGCTAGTAAACATCACCAGATGTAATAGCGTAGCCGGGATGGCCCTGTAGAGTTCAAGTCAATAAACATGAGTCAAATGTGAGCAGATCTCCATATTGGAGGCGCTGTAGTGGACAGCATCCAGATTCTATAAGAAGTGTGCGCCCAGGATTCGGAAGGCGCCGCAAACCTGGCGTAGAATTCCGGACTCCAAAACGATCAGGGTAGGCTCACGGTGAAGGCGTCCCGACGAGGCCAGTTTCGCCGGTGCCAAATCTAGATACCTCACCGGGTAAGTCTAGAAGTCCAGACGTGAGCACCAGGCGCGAGATAATCTGGAGGAGAACATAACGCGTCACAACGTCCGGGGTTAAGTCATATCATCTGGACGCAGACGCCCTGGATTGTAGGGTACCAGGAGGGGGGAGATATAGATCGCGAGCTCCTGACGAGATCATGACGGGATCAGAGCGGGAGGGATCTCCCGAGGTGACAAAGGGCAGTCTAGGTCCGTCGGGATGCTAGGCGGAAGAATTGGGGTGACTCAGGATGCCACTGGGACCCAAAGAGGGGCGTCCGGACGCAGGGGCAAGATGGCGACAGTTTTCAGGATGCATGGCACGCAGGGGTCAGCGTCCAGATAACGTCCGGATACGATGAGGCGCAGAAGCAGGGGTCCGGACGCCAGGGGTAGCGCCGGTGCGTCCTGATTAACGGTTTGCGTCCTGTGCGTCCTGTGTGTCAGACGCACAGGACGTACAGGACGCGAGTTGAAATTTTTCCTGATGAGGGTTCATCTTCTTCGAGTAAGGGAATTTCTGGTAAATCTGTTTCCCAAAGGACAAAGTCGATCGTATCCAACTGGGTTGTAACTGGATGGATAAATCGTTCGAAGAGGTAGGTTTCGGATAATACTTCAAAGTCCACTATTTCAGCTTGTGGTCTTATTGGTATCATTCAAAGAGCCTTGGTAACCAGAGGTTATCAATATAGTGTTAGGGGGTAGGTAACTCTAAAGTCAAGCGAGGATACGCTAGGCCCTATATTCTTCTGTCTCAGAGATAATCAAAAAGGCTCGTAAAGATAGAAGTAAAGTAGAACGAATATATTGATAAGATCTCTTCTCCGGTCGCTGATGATAGACTAAAAAGCTCGGGAGGCACCTCGATATTTATAGGAAGCGCGTCTGGGTGGTCACGCCCTACAGCCAATCCCTTACTAACTATGTACTTGCCATACTAACGATTCAGTGTTTTTGGGGGCGAACCCCATTTGACCCTGAATACTAACTTCCCCGCTCTCTTTCTTAGTGGAGTGATCAGCTCCGTCAAAGGACTTATCAATGACTCTTCTATGTGCATATCTTAGAGTGCATGATGAAGATAACTAACTCGACCACTGAGTTGTTATTTAACCAATCGTAAACTAGTCTCCGGATGACCCTAGTTATACGCGAGCAGAGGATGGTGCGGCTACTTCTCGGAATAGCGCACCAAGACTTCCAGAGGTCATAGCTCAATAACCAACCGACCAATCTGGTTTAAATAAGTCTTATCTTGTAGAGCGGAGCTCCTTCTATGTTATCCAGCGAAAACCCCTCGGTCGCTTATCTTATCCCATGGATAATGAAAGGGTAAAGACTTGCATGATGCCTTATCATTTCGTGCGGTAATGAGATACCGTCACGATAACTGCGGCGGGGCCCGTAGTCAAACACGTGACCTTATGCATTTAGTCACGTGCCGCACCAATTACGCTTCTTTGTGTAACACCAGGGGGCTAAAATAAGATGAAGAAATGTGGAAATTGCATAAATCTGGAAATTATTCCAGTCAGTAGCTTTTGCTCATTATCAAACAACACTGTAGTCTAAAGAAGGAAAATGTTGGACTACGGAGTTGTGTGATAACCCATAAAAGCTATGGCTTAAGATGTCTAAAGTGTACACCAAGAAGTTTGTAATCGGGGACGCCTTGGCATTCAGTCACAAATTTAAAAACCATGCATGTGTTCAATTCCCTATTCAATCATAGTAATTTTAGACTTTTCAAGCCACAAAGATTATGAATCACAAAATATGAGCTTAAATTATGCACGAAAAGGATGCAAGTTTGAATAATATAGTTAACTAAAGTAAGCATTGTAGCAATTTTAAAGAATCAATTCTAGGCAGAGTATGTAGCATAAAGTTTAGAACTTGAATAGCCAAGAGACTGCAATTAAAATACAGCTAAGGGCCTGCCCGGCGGGAACGGAACCGTTCCGTTCCCCCATACAAATGACCGCTTCCTTCCGTTCTGAAAATGCCAAGACAACCATTTCCCCAGCAAAAATCATCAACGAATGGAACGGTCGACCCGCCTACCGTTCCCGCCAAACAGGCCCTAAACAATCGGAACCCTACGATGCGATTCGTACTTAGTAGAAACAATTGACTTATAGCTTTAGAGACTTTAATAATCATTATATATTGTACTATATAATTCAGAGCCTCCAGCTTGCTTATTTTACATATTATTATCTATGTGATTTATACAAACTCGAGTAGTTACATATAGTGTGGCTTAGGTACGAGTATTTTATAAAAACTATTATTTGATCATGAATTGAACTGAGTTATATAATTTTTCACGCCAAGCCGTCCCCCGTTACAAACTCCTTGGTGTACACTTTAGACGTCTTGAGCCATACTGATTTTGGAATGATTTCAAGATTTACGCAATTTCCGCGTTTCCTCACCTTATTTTAACCTCCTTGTATGACGTCCAATTATTCGAGTTTTTACGGTAGGGTACGGATCATAATTCTTCCAGGATGGCTCTGTTACCCGGCTAGAAGGTGCGTCGGGCAGGTGCTGATCGATGATCTCGCCCCAAATATGAGTCGGGTAGCAAACCTTCTTCAACCCACCATCCGGGAACCAGCAATCAAACACACCACCACAAGGACGCACCAACAACAAGGTGAGTCCCTTTAATGTTATATTGTCTACTGAGGACCGACCCACTAAATTCACGAGAAGTGAACAGTAGCCGACCATGTTCAGACTTGCCACCAATCTTGCATTCCCGCCTGCGGGCATCTACCGCCACCCCCCTCAAGTCCACTATGCATGCAGGGCGATTAGCACTACTCCGGTGGGCTTAAGGTTTTAATAGCCCGCAAGCTGTTCTAACCACATTACAATATTCAGCAGAAGATGCGTATCACCAATCTTAAGTATCAGACTGCGTATTCGAAGGTCACCATGACAGAGGCCCAGCAGAGACTGGGCTTTACGTTCAGGCAATTCGAAAGTCATTCCATGCCGGTTAGCCAGATGTTGGCACACATCAAGCCTGAGATTGACGGTCTCGGAAAAGATCAGGTTCAGAAAACCAAGGAAAAGGTTTTCGACAATATTGTCGAATTTATTGAAGGTGAATGCTATCCTACAGAGTCGAACGAAGATTTCAAGGAAGCTAATGTCAATGACTTGGTTTTACTTATAATCCTCCCTATACTCACGGCTTTCAGACGTGAGACTGGGTGCGACCTTTGCCTACAAAGGGAAAAAGAGATTATTGCCGTGGACTCGGAGACTGGTGGCTATCAGGAATTTGTTGTGATGGACTTTATCGGGCTGGTGGACCAGAAGTTTGTTTTTGTAGTGGAAGCAATGAAGTCCTCTGTTGGACAGGCGAAGAGACAATGTTTGTTGGCAATGAAAGATATGGGAGATAATAATGGCGGAGGGGTGGTGCATGGCTTTGTTACTACCGGGGATCAGTGGCAAATGATCCGGTATGATGGCACGGCTTTTACTCAGACAGAGCACTTTCAGGTGATGTTTCCTACAATGGGGCGGGAGAAGGGGAGATGGATGAAGGAGGCCTCAATTATTGTGGACTCTATTCACGCAGCGTTGAGAAGCGGAGTATTTCTGGCGGGTAATTGAAAGTGAGCATCTGGTGGAGTTTTTCTCACGGGGATTTGTATTTTTTTGCGGTAGGGTGTAATTAGTCGTTAATTGATTCTCTTTACTCTTGAATGTGAGGACCCCCTGAACGAAGTGAGGGAGAAGGCGGAGCGGTCAACAAGCAGTAGCGAGGCGATAGCCGCACATAGCCAGCGGGTAGGTTGATGCATATGCTATATTCTCAAATAATCCAACCGTGTGTTATGTCGTTGGAGTTGGCTCCTCTGCCAGTAGTAAGGTCTGCTGGGGTTTTTTTTGTTCTTCTGTCAACGACCGACAAACGACCAAGCCCCATCACCACCCCCCCCCCTCCAGGTAAGTCCCCCACACACGAGCAAACAAAAGCTAACAAAGGAAAGACAAACATTACGGCTTCACCCAAAGCCTTCCTCCGTTCCTCCCACCGGCACTTTTCTTCCGCCGGCGCTTTCCTTCCGACGGATATATCGCTCCCGTCGGAGTGCTTTCCCACGCCCGAAAGCCCAACTGCGCCCGTCGCACTCCCGCTGCCGCAATCCTTTTCCGAAGGGCCAAAAGGTGCCCGTAGGCAAAACGAGTTCCCGGAACCTAGACGAACGAGCAAAACTATGAGGGGGGAGCATGCCGAGCAGCACTTCCAACAGGACTGATCCTATAGCCCATCTCACAATGAATCCCGTACCCCTTTCCATCTTACGTCCCATACGGGGTGATTCCCTACCACAGTTCCCCTGCTGATCCCCCGACAGCAATTGTTGGAAATCATGGATGCTGCTCGGCATGCTCACGACTTGGTCTCCTTGCCCGCCCGTCTATCCATCGACCTCTCCGTCTATCCGTCCCCTTGTTTGACTGTTTTGCGCTCACCTGCTCAGATGCCCACCGGCCGGTCCCGGAGTGTGTTCGCTTGCTCGTTGTTTGTCGTTCGAAGTTCGTGCGAAGGCTTTCACAGGTACGCTTTGGGGTAGCGCATCCGTGGAAGGATGCCGGTCAGCAGCGGGAGTGTTGCAGGAGTCATATGGGAGCGGGAGCCGTAAGGGAGCGGGAGCAGAAGTAGAAACGGAAGCAGAAGCCATATGCCAGTCGGATGAGTACTGCGCAGGAGTCTTTGTCTTTCCTGTATTTCTTTTGTTAGCATGAGGGCGTGCATGAGGGATGGGAGATTTGCGGGGACGTATGTGGAACCAAGAAGAAGCATGTGGTGAGCGACAGAAGAACATGAGGATGCCTTTTGGGGTTTATTTAAGCTCCTATTTTTCGCCGTCAGTTAGTTAAGAGAGGGTCGGGGAATAGAGCAAGTTGTCGAACGAGTTGTGGAGCGGGAGTGTGAACTTCCCCGCTTTTGCAGTGCAGAGTTTTTCATCCTTTAGTTATCGGTGTTTCTTCTCACCGTTTCGTTTCGCCCTGCGTTCGGTTAGCCATTTATGTCTAAAAGTGATCCCCTACAGACCCCTCCTATTTCTTCTGTCGAAAAGAGATAGTGCACACTCGCTGCTACTAATGGGGAAACCAAATATTGGCTGAGATGCACTACCGGGACCGGTAGTGGATGTATCCGTAGGACCGCAGGATGAATACCGGTAGTGGTCTAACATTCTACTTTGATGCGTGCATCTTGCGCTAATATTTCCTCCATGTCTCCCTAGTTAAACATACCAGGCAAAAAGGGTTTGCCACTCTCCGCCACTCGGCCTATAGATACCATAATGAACCCTTACTTGTAAGTGAAACCCCGCAGAGCCAACAAGGTATGATACTGTAGCTTGCTTGATTGAACCCTCGAGGCAAAATTCTAAGGGGGTGTTTGGCAACCGTGGTTTGTAAGGTAATACCTTATGAACTGCAGTTTATAAGGTATTACCTCTCAAACCACAGCTTGTAAGGCAGAATGTGTTTGGCTCCACAAAGTTTGTAAGGTAAAAGTTTTGTACCTTATGGACCATAGTTTGAAGAACCTTAATTAGGGCTTGAAAAAAATCCTACTGCAAGTAAACTTGATAGTTGATATATTTATAAAATACATAAATACCTTGAATTTGCCTCTAATTAAGCCTCTTATGATATATTTATTGCATTAGTCTCATTATCATTCACTACTTAAAGCCAAAAGGGTGAGATCCAGAAGATCAATCTCCAATTTTGAGGTAGATAGATTGTATGACTAAAGTGAATCAGAAGGGAGAAATTATGTCTAAAATTCAATTTAGGGCACAAGTCCAAAGGGTTACAGGGGGTTTTTTTATACCATGATAGAAATTTGAAGGTGTTTGGCAAGGGATACCTTACAAATTGCAGTTACCTGTACCTTACAAACTGTAGTTTGCCTTACCTTAGTAACTGTGGTTTGTAAGGTATTATCTTACAAACTTTGATGTGCCAAACACCCCCTAAGTTGCTACATGACATTGTGTCCAAAGATCAGCAGGTTCATTCTAAAATAATAGAATATCCTATAAATTAAGTATCTGGTGATCCTGCTTTCCAATCATGATCGACAGAGCCAAACACAATTCTGTCCACATGCAGTACTACGGTACAGCGCCATTGTAAAATTACTCAAGGCATCAGCCATCATCTATTACAACCCTCTAGGATACACCCCTATCTAATATAAATCCGTCAAATAAATCCCACACCGAAAGTATTGTATACCAATAGGCAAGCCAACTCGGAGGCCCTAATCACCCACAGTATATTCCTGCCCCAGATAGCCGCAGACCAGCCTTAATCGAGCTCAAGCATACGCGATGCAAGCTGGTTCATGATATATCACCCGGTGGGGCCGACTATCTAAACACAACTGCACCGCTACCGGGCCCCAAATGCAAACTTGCTATTAGAATATTATAATAGAAAGCGGTAGCCCAACCATAGCCGTGTTAACTAGACCCCTACCCTAATCTATACTACAATCTACCATACGAGTATCAAAACATTACATGAGTTGCAATCTAATTAATATCATAATATCATACTAATAAGGGGGAAGAAAAATAACCACATCCATCCAACTTTCCCTTCCCCCCTCCCATTATCGAGACTTGGGATGCCAGCTTTGCTGTGAATCAGTCATGCTGAATGGCCGTTGCAAGCGGGCGAGCTCTGCCACGCCCTGGCAGTCGAGCTGGGCTCCACCGACTTCAATACTAGCAACATCCCTTCGATGTCGACACTGGTGGGTTGCTGTCAAGGGCTCATTACGGTGGGCAAGGAGGCATCAACCGTGCCACTGGTCCCACTTTACTCTCCAAGAGTACCTTTCCGCTCATCCCGATAAATCGCAGAGGTCTGCTTCACCTATCTGAATTCCTTGTAAGTCAAGGCCCTTTCGACCGATCCATCCCATGACACCCGGGATACACCTTTCTAGAATATTTTTCTGTGTACTGGGGAGTCCATGCGAAACCAGAACTCTCGGACTACGGGAGATCACTTGCTCTAAAACTATTTTCCTGGAGTTCGATGGCCACATATCCACTGAATTTCTTTTAGTGCAAGTGGAGAATTTAGGTCTTGAGGGTCGTGATATTATACCTGGTATCCGTTCAGTGGGCCGCACTGCGCATCGTTCTTCGGAATTTTCGAGGTTTTGGCTGCTTTAATGGAGATGGGATGTTAGGATATCAACGAAGGAGACTTTGGGGGCTATACGCCACTTGCGTAGGCTGCTCATAATGGACATGAGGAAGTGGTGGAAGTGCTGCTTTGGCTGGAAGAGGCCGATCCCAACAAGCCAGACAATGACAGCCAAACAACTCTCTGGTTCGCAGCTAGGCATGGCTATCAGAAGGTGGAAACGCTACTACAATCCCACAAAGCGGTAACCCCCAGCGCGATTCGAGGCCTAGAAAACACCACCTCGTCAAACCCGCCACCTTTCCTTCTCTTCCCGAGCACCTTACTCACGGAAGCCGTCCTCGGACATCCCCCCCCCGTTGCAGTCGAAGGAAATCCCACGAGACGAGCCCAGAATGCACTTATGTCACCACGCAGACTTGAACCTCCCTGGGGACTTGCTTCTAAAGTCGGGCGTGGGTTCACGAATCCCCGTTTCCCCGGGTACGGTAGAGTTTGGAGCCAGTTCTATTGTCTAGTTTATTATACCTTTGTAGTTTTCACCCTATCATATTTGACTATTCCCCAGCGGTACGTTCTTGCCCCTCGCGTTTTTTTTCTTTTCTTTTCTTCTTCTCTTGCACGATAGATAAACATATAGAGTGTTGTTCAGATAGAAGAAAAGTGGGTGTACGATAGCGGAAGGATTCTTGAGACCATTCTGAGCAACTATGTAAAGACTTAATGACACGTCTCCACGAATAGTACGATATCATACTTAGCAGACACCAATTAGTCACCACCCCCCAAGTGCACACCTCGCAAGGCCGGCCGGAAATCAACACCTCCGCACGTCTCGCTGAAAGGCCACTCAGCAATAACAAACCCCCTCTCCACATACTCACGATTACCAAGTATCGGGGGACTCTCTGAACTCCCATACTAGTGACGCCCCTCACCGGTTCTGAGAAAAGAAGAAATCAAAGAGGCCCCCCCGAGCGAGGTACTGTTCCATCTGCCATTGAAAATCGGCGGTAAAACTAGAAAGAAGGGGATTTTTTTTCCCCTTGGAACAAATACGATATAGTTGTATTAGAAACCAATTTCTGTGTAACTATGATAAGCCCTGCTGTGTGTTCAAATCAAGCTTTATCCGTTGTAAAAAAAAAAAAAATCTGTAAGAGTGGTAGACGAGACCTCCGTGGGGAGAAAAAAGAAAAAAGAAAAGAAAAAAAGAATCAAACAAGTATGATACAAGAAATCCGGAATTGGTATTTTATGGTATATACTTCACACTGCGGCCCCCCCCCTCCGCCAACGGAAAAAACAAAACCAGCTTTGCCCAAGCCCATTTCTCGTACCCCCACAGCGCACCACCCGGCAAAGAAAAAGCATTCAGAATAAGCACATGTGCGAAACGGACAGACAGCCCTCCTCCCCGTACCGGGTTGCATCCAGTGACGGATTCGGTACGTCCCGTATCATACGACCCACTCACTCACTCGCTGCCCCCTTGTGTTAATAACCATATATCCA